GATTTATTAAGCAATTATGTATTGTCTGCACTGTATTAGCAGTATATACTCTATATAGAGTATATACTGCTAATACAGTGCAGACAATACATTTACAATTATACTAACATGAATGGATTAAATGATCTGTATGTAGCCCTGTACTATGGATCATTTAACCCATTCATGTTAGCAGAGGATCATTGTAAATGTATTGTTGCAGGCACTCTATATGTACATGTCATATATACTACATATAGAATGCACTGAACAATAGATTTACAATTATCCTCTGCTAATATGAATGGGTTAAATGATCCGTAGTACATGATATGTAGCCCTGTACCCCCTTTTCCACTTACAGAGCTAGGTTATTGTTTTTCTTTTAAATAAATATTCATGTAATTTTATTGGTATCTATCTTCATTTTGTACATTTACCAGTAGCTGCCTCATTTCCCACCCTCGGCTTATATTCGAGTCAATACTTTTTCCTAGTTTTTTGTGGTAAAATTAGGTACCTCGGCTTATATTCGGGACGGCTTATACTCGAGTATATACGGTAAGTTGCAATATAAGTTGCAGAATTGTTCTTTACACACAGCACAGAAACAAAACAAAAAATGCCTTCTGCTTTAGTAAAAAGGGCTCGTATGTTACCTTTGAAAATGTCACTTCCAATTAATTGTATAATTTACTTTGATCTATTAACTTTATAACATTAATCAGTTTGGACAATATGATATTTTTGTCCTAATGACTTTATTAAAGATTGATGGTACTTTAATAGCTTTTAGTAGACTGGTTTCTTAAATTGTGATTTTCATGAACAGTGTTTACAGTGACAAAATCTTTATCACAAACAGAAGAAATGACGGCACATATTTATTGGCCACTTGTAAAAAAAAAATCACATGAGATCACTTTTATTGCGGACATCTGCAATAATGAGTCCATAGCATAGTTCAACAAATCCTATGCACTGTTATCAGCACCTTGTATTCAAAGCAGCTTCCAACTGATACAAGTTATCAATTAGAGACAAAAAGCAGTTTGTACATTTGGAATAAATAAAGAAGATCAGTGGCTTTTAAACCGTAATGCCAGCCATCCAATCTGAGGCATTAGAAGCTGCCTGTACTAGTCTTTTACTATCTTTTAACTGATATCATCCCATTGCATGTTTTTTGTTGTTTTTTTGCATTGTATAATGAGTTGAACGATGGACACATAAGGCCCTGGTGAGAAAAAGTTGAACAATGGTTGCAGCTGTCAAATGCAGTGTGACCCACAGAGGATAGCAAAGTTTCATACCTGTTTTAGATTGACATTCAGACCTTCGTGAGTTGCCTTCAGCAGTGCCCTCACAGTGAAGCTGTCAGGATCCTCTTTGTCCCTGATCTGCGATTCCTTCAGTAAGGACTCCAGTTTTTTCCGTATGAAAGATTCTACTTGGTGCTCTGTTGTTCCATTGCTCTGCAAAGGATTAACATAAAACCCATTAACATTTGCTTCATTCAGTGCTCCAGTGTCGATTCATAAAAATGTATTTAGTTATGCCAGAAGCATTTACTGAATGTGTGTCTTTATATTGAAGTAGAACTGGCATTTGATTCCGCTAAGGCAAAAAAAAAAAAAAAAGCCACTATAATCTATGGCACACAAGAACTGTCCCTGCACACATCAGTGGTGTTTGGCACTGTGAGGTGCTATTCAATGTAAAAGAATAGAGTGCAGTCCAACAGGCATTGTCTTTCTATAAATGTAATCAAACTGAACTTGCACAGAGAATGAATATGCACATTTAACTTGTCTTCTGAATGTTTCTCAAACTTACTATATTATGCATCCCATCAAAACGCCAAATGTTTATTAAGTTGCCCTGATAGGTGACTCTCTTACTCACACCCGAAAAGTGAGGACATTAATAGCCAGTTAGTTCTGAGCACTTTTTATAAAAATATATATCCTTTATATTACAATGTATAAATGTTTTCCAAGGACCTACCTTAAATGATGCCTCCTGATCCAATCATCTTCTTCTTTCCAGTAGTTTTCAGGGGTCCCTCCAGCGCTGGTGCCGGTCTCTGGTCTTCTTTAAGGTTTTTGCATATATCTACTGCTTGCTAGCAGTAGATATATGCAAAAAAGGGAAGGTTTAATTCTACTTTAAAGAAACCTTTGCTGATAGAAACAGAGAGTTGACTGGCTGTCTTTCTTACCCTTTGCTTTCAATATTTTGATCCCCTGACATTGAAGAAGTATGTAATTAAGGACTTCTGACTTTTTCCAGGCTATAAACCCAAAAAGTACTAAAGCCATTGGGTCACCATAGAAACCAGGCAGCTATATTTTCAGAATGGCATTAGCAGTATCCATGGTTATCTTTTGAAAAGTTTACTGTCTGAGAGGGAAGAATACAATAATCCAATTATTTATTTGCTTAGCAGCGTGAGATTAAAACTCTTTTTGGAAATTATTATAATTTACTGCTAATTAGTGTAATGAGTAGCAAGTAGTTGTGGGTCAAACTTAGGGATGTTAGAGACCCCCAGTTTTAGGGCAAGAGAAGCAATTGCCAGAATCATTATAGGTGACCCAGAGACACACGAAAAGGGCTAAAGGAAAAATCCAAAATGGGTATTGTTCATGCCAAAGGTCAAAGTCAGGGCATCATATCAAGAGAACAGAGACTACAAAGTGTTAGAAGGGCAAGAAAGAGAGTGCAAAACATTCAGGAAGGAGTCGGCAGGTCTTATCATGTTTTTCTACCCATAGGAAGAACTTTTCCCTCAAAAGCGTTTACGTTCTTCAGCAATTAAATGTGCCTAGGACTTACTGCACAGCTAATCTCCTATCATGCCTAGTAAAGAAATTGTACCCGGACACAGGAAAGGAAAAGTAGACAATGAAACAAGAATGCAGGCTTCAGAAGTGCAGACACAGGCTGCATTTATAAGGGCAGACAGAACAGACAGGACACAGTACTGACTAAGAAACACAACATGTAGGTTGTGCTGGGGAGACTAGGGAACAAGGCTAGGCAACCAAAACACAGAGGAATGAGGGGAAGGTACTGGGCTGAAGAACGGGTAACAAAACTAAAGCTAGGAGACATTGGAAAAAAGAGGCTAATATATGACTAGAGTCTAGATACAGGACTGGAAGATTGTACCTGTAGCATAGAACAGGGATCTGGAAAAGGACATTATAATGCTTGTCATATACATAAAGGTCAAGATAAACAATTGGTCATTGATTTGATCATTTAATCAATCTTTCATTCTAAAAGGATTATTTTAAACCACAAAGAAAGGATGCCCAAGACAGCTTCTGTGACTGTACAGGAGCAGTGCTGAATGACTGTGATTCTAAGGTCTTCATCAGGTATACATGCTTATATACACAGACTTTGCATGTTGTATTTGCTAGAATTTGGGAAATGCAAGTATTTTATTATTGTGTTTTCACACATGTACACTACATCCATACTTGTTTGCAAGCCAAAGTTAAGAGTAGCTTTCAAAGAAACAAACTCGAAATTTAGAAGTATGGCAAAAACACTGTGTACAGCAGCAGCAACTCAATTATGAAGATGCCTCAGCCCTGGTTCACACCTAGGAGTTTTTGAGCAGAAAAATGCCAGATGCCTGAAAAGATAAAGGAGCTTCTTTGGGCAGTTAAAAGCGCTTTTCCTCCCCATAGACTTCATTGGAAATGCCCAGAAACGTGCAACAGAAACATGTTACACATTTTCGTGAGCGTTTTTGTGCGTGTATACGTGCGTTCTTCCATTGCCCACAATGGTTTATGAGCTGCCAATCAAAATGCGCATCTTCATGTACACATGTTAAAACGCACATACAAATGTGCATGTGCAGAACGTGCATAAACGCACAAATGACCACATGCGGCACACACGCGTACAAACGCGGAAAAACTGTGCCACCTAGGTGTGAACCAGGGCTTACACCCAATATTATTCTAGGAAGCGGAAGAACCTCCTGATTTGTCATGTGACATTTGGAATAAGCATCACCTCACTTTAGGAAATCTGGGTGTTTCTGTTTATTAATTCCATGTAACTTAAAGGAGAACTATGAGATGAGTGATTTCCACTCACCTCATAGTTCTAGCCGACCTGTGACAATGAGACTGTCACAGGTCGGCTCAGTAGATCGGGAGGTGAGAGAACACATACCAGGTTCGCTCACCTCTCGATCCTGTCACGTCTCTCTGCCGTGACAGGGGGAGGGGCTGGATTCCCCTCTCCCCGCTCCGATCTGCCAGCGCTGACTGGCGGAACGGACGGGGGAGGGGGCGGGCACAGCTGGCTCTGCCTCTAGATAGGCAGAGCCAGCTGTCACTCACGCAGCTGGGCGGATCCCGTCATCTACGTCGGGATCCGCTCCAGCTGCGGCGTCTCAGTATACCGCGAGCTGTAGCTCGCAGTATACTGAGCTTAGGGTAACGGGAGGACGCTAGTTTGTGTCCTCCCGTTACCCTAGGGAGAACTATGGGGAAAAACACTGACCCCATAGTTCTCCTTTAAGTGTTATGGAATTTTCCATGATGCACTTAATCCTAATCATCTCTTAAAGTTGAAGTTAAAAATCTTTCCAATTTCATTACATACCTGTTTTCAGACCCAGTGATGTTATCATTAGGTCTCTGTGATTCTCTATGCAATGTAGACATATGACTGATGGAAGGGGGCTGTACTTAGCTTCCTGAAAACATCACAGCACTTCGCCTCAGTACTCCTCTCAAGAGTCCTCAGCATTGATGAATATATAAATGCCTCCTATTGATTATATCAATATAATCAATAGGAGGAAGAGTCATCAAATATCTAAACATTTTTAATGGGTCGGTACCAGTTTGGGTATTCCTAGGTAGATGACATTTGAATGCTGACTGTCCTAGGTAATGCACATGTGTGATGCAGAACCCCCATGATTGAAAGAACTGAAATGCAATAAATGAAAGGGACAGGCCAGATACAGTAAGGTTGTGAAGAAAGGGCCAGGTGCTTTTTCTAGCTTCTAATGAACACTGCGAGACGCTCACAATATGCAGTGAAATCGGAGAGAGCAATTTCAGTACAGAACAGGAGCCTTTACAACTGTGATGGACTGAAGGTAAGGCTGGAGTGCAGCTTTAATATTTTTATAATATCCATTTCCCAGGATCCATTATATGATAGAGATCACAGTGAGGTCACTGATATGGGTTCATTTTTATATTATGCCTGATTTGTAGTAATTAAATTGTGTAGTTTGGGAAGTTTTCATATTTCCATTGTATCATCTTCCAGTTTTAATTTACCTTGTAATATTAGAAGCAGAAACGACACGGTAAAATTACACTTTACCTTTTATCAAACATAAATTCTTTCATTAAAGCCCAACTTCAGGGAAATGAAAAGTTTTCCTTGCAATGAGGTTGTCCCCACACTGTAAGAGTTAACTGCTTGTTTATGCCTAGGGAACAGGAAAAAGCTATTTTACTTACCTGGTCCTGCTGGCTACCTCTGAGCTGCTAGACTGGTCCTCGCAGCCTCTTCTCCCTTGTGCTCTGGTGGTCTAAGGACCACTGATGCCATCAAGTACAATGTAGGCTCTATAGCCCTGCATTATACTTGAGGACACTGAGGGAGAGTTCACAGAGTAGAGGGGAAGAGTGGGTGAGTGCGGATCAGGTAAGTAAAACATATTTTCCCTGTCCATAGGGCATAAACAAGCAGTTAACCCTTGCAGTGAGGGGCACCCCCACTGCAAGGGAAAACCTTTAATCTCCCTGAAGCTGGACTTTAAATAATGGAAGATAATGTAAGCCAAGTTGTGAACTATATGTGCATTGAGCCATTTTGCTCAATAAACCCATTAGGGTGTGGTATCTGAGGAGCCATGTAAACTGAACTTGCATGCGTCACAAACCATTGGCGCCCCTTTAAAGTGTTTTATTTTTGGATTGTGTGTGTCCGTTACACAAGTGAATGAATGTGGTTGGGAAGGCCGACAATGGTTTTTCACATCAACAAATCACAGCTAAGAGCTAAAGCATACAAGTATAAGTTTATTTTTTATTTCTATTGCAATTTGTACACCAAGTGAGCCATGCATTATGATTGTCCAGGACTGTGGCAGAATTCCTTTAAAATCATTAATTTCTTTTTTTATATATATATATA